AGAGAATCGCAATGCGAAATTAAAATCGCAATGCGGAAATGAAAATCGCAACGAGAGAATCGCAATGCGATTTTAATTTCGCATTGCGATTTTCATTTCGCATTGCGATTCTCTCGTTGCGATTTTCATTCGCATTGCGATTTTCATTTCCGCATTGCGATTCTCTCGTTGCGATTTTCATTTCGCATTGCGATTTTCATTTCCGCATTGCGATTTTCATGTTGGGATTTTCATTTCGCATTGCGATTCTCTCGTTGCGATTTTCATTTCGCATTGCGATTTTCATTTCCGCATTGCGATTCTCTCGTTGCGATTTTCATTTCGCATTGCGATTTTCATTTCCGCATTGCGATTTTCATGTTGGGATTTTCATTTCGCATTGCGATTCTCTCGTTGCGATTGTAATTTCCGTGTTGCGATAGTCAAATGCATGCCTAATAAGTGATAACAACTGAATAACAAGAGTTGGTTAAGTCAAAATGGTTGGCCTGAGTCATTAATTCAACTGAAAATGTTAAAAGTTCACACATAAAATCCACATAATACAACGTTTGCATTTAAAAATCACCTAAGTTAACAGTCCCAAAAGGTGAAGCCAATTGTGATTGGGATTTTAAAGATGATTGCCTTTTGCTTGACACCATATGAGCTTTGGATTTTGATGAGGATCCATATTTTGGTAGAGGAAAAGATGATTTGATGGCACTGGTGATCCACATGTCAACCTTGTATGACCACTTTCCTTGCACCGACTACATGTTGATCTCTTCTTCTCTTCACCCTTAGACGGTATACGATCGTGACTTTTTGGTCGGCCAGGTAGCCTTCTGTCCATGGCTGGTGGCAAAACTGTTTGTAAGTCATCTGGTATGTCCCACTCAGAAGGATGTGGAATAGGGTAGACAATCTCGGCATAAGTATGTCGATAAACTTCTGTAGTGTAGCAATCCATAGCGTATGCGCTTGAATCATCTTGATTTAAATGAAGAGCAACTTTTATAACATGGCCACACGGATAACCAGATGTTTGCCATTTCATACAACTACGTCTTTGCATTTAGATCGACTAGCCCATTTAAGTTATTATCCAGTACTTGAAACAAAGTGTTTGAACATGGTTCAACTCTCCATGACGTTGACTTCACAACACGTTTCGTTATCTTTTTTTCAGTCCATGGTGTAACACGATGTTCCAATGTTCCTGTAAATTTAAATAAACATACTTAGTAAAATATATAAATATGATAAGTTACGAATTCAAAGAAATAATACCTGCATGGTTTCTTTTCTTGTAGTACCACTGTTGAATAGATGCTCGAAAAAACTCCATTAACATAGTAATGGGTAATTTCCGGAATGACGACTTAGAGCGTTGATTGATTCTGCACTATTAGACGTCATGAAACCATATCTTGCTCCAAGTTGATGTACTCTTGACCATCTTTCAAACCCGACATCTTCTAGTGTTTGAGCACACTGAGGCAAAACACGTCTTAAACAATTTATATGCTTATTGAAATCCACTTCCCGATAAGCTTTTACAGCCTTCCAGTATGTCCATTTGTGCTTTTTTATACCAGCAGACCTTGATTTTAGATTTCTATACAAATGAACACCACAAAGTCCATGAAAAGCATCTGGGAAACACCTTCTAACAGCGTTGTCAATTGAGTTTGCCCTATCGGATATGATTGTCAGATTGCTAATAGGACCTATGCAATCCCTAAGATGCCCCATAAACCATGTCCATGAATCAGATGTTTCAGATTTGCCAACCCCGTAAGCTATTGGCAATATCCCATTGTTAGCATCCATGGCTACTGCTAATAAGTTTACTCCAAGGTATCGACCTTTCAAATGTGCTCCGTCAACTATAATAACTGGGCGCATGCAAGTAATAAACGAACGAATCTACAAAATAATAACACAAGAAATATAATCATTTAAATGTGAAATGCATGTAACTAACAAAAATGAGTCAACAAAATTATATTGATTTACTAACCGTAGCACCAATGGCGATAAACAGCAACTCAAAGCGTCCATCTTTATCTGTTTTGATATGAGTTACCGACTCAGGATTTTTCAGCTTTAAATTGTGACAATATGCCGGCAGTTGGGCAAACGATGCTTCTGGCGACCCCCTCAACAATTCCAAGGCATAACATTTGGCTCTCCAAGCTTGAGAATATGATATACTAATCTTGAACCGAGCATTCATGTCAGTCATAATTTCATGTCCCCGATATACTCTGCCATTCAAAAACATTAACTCAGCCAGAAAACCACCCAACACCTTTTTGTTTGCCTGTCTATGGTGAGGAAAAACTTGGGTTCTTGAACATGTATGTTTATCAATAAAAGTCCTAACTTGAAACATTTCGCAATCTTTTATTCTCTTTGCAATCATACGCCACGTACAGTTTTTGTCAATCATACACCTTGTTTCGAAACGATCTTTGCTTGATTTGTTAACTTTTAGTTGATAGCCATCTTCCACACATTTCGTATACAAAGCTATCTTCAAGTCTTCCTTTGTATCAAAACAATCATCTTTCTTGATACGAATAACTTTTGTGTAACAATCAACTGCTTTCTTTACCAACTCTTCTTCCGGTATCTGAAGTAATTCTGGCATATTCCAGTTATACGCCCGTGGCATTTTCTTTTCTTCGGGGACTTTTTCTTCTTCTTTTCTTCTTCAGGATTATATGAATTACAGAATGGATGTTCAACATGTTCATTCACAGTCGTAACTTCCTCCTCATTATCATCAACAATACATTCTTCGGCAACGGCTGTTTCATCATCAAAATTCGGGTATTGACCAATATCAAAATCATTACACGCAGGGTCTGTTTCTTCTTCTGAAACATCATCAAAATCCGTGTATTGACCAATATCAAAGTCCGGATATTGACCAAGACCAAATTTCGAATACTGACTAGTACTCACAATTTTTTCTGTTGGCTCATCATCGTCTAACTGGTCAATACGAAAACCGGAATTTGGTGCTGAAAGTTGATTGGATTTGGATTAGAGAAAGGTTGTGGGTTTTGAGAAAAACTTAGTTGATTACTACCCGCTACTGACCCAACAATACTACTTCTAGGTTCAACAACATACAATGTAACATCATCTTGTGAAACACTAATGTAAGCAATGAATCGTTCAACATCTTCATTGTCGGTTAACAAATAAACTTTACCATTTCTCTGATAAGATAGCCTAAATCCACTTAGGGCTCTAAATTCAATTTATTTGAAACACGTAGCATTAGAGTTTCATAAGTTAACTTTTGTAAAGACAATTTTAGTTGAAGATTCATGGGTAAAGGCATATATTGTAAAACACCATGAACATTATCCCATGACCCTCCAAAACACAAATCTATCCAAACATGATCAACATTAGATGATTTCATGGTTGTAAATTAATTTACTAAACAGACGAGCTGCGAAACTAAAACCTGTTGCCGGATTGGGAAGGATGTCGTTGGATATAGGAACGGATGTCGCCGGAGAGAGTGATAGATGGAGATGGAATGAGTTGCGATTTAGGGATTTAGTTTATGATTTGCTGCTGTTTCGTAGTTATATACCCAAAATTTCAGTGTTGTGATTTACAGATTCTCGTTGCGATTTACGGATTATCGTTGCGATTTACAGATTCTCGTTGCGATTTACGGATTATCGTTGCGATTTACGGATACGCGTTGCGATATACGGATACGCATTGCGATTTACGGATACGCGTTGCGATTTACGGATACACGTTGCGATTTACGGATGCGCGTTGCGATTTATGTGTTCGCGTTGCGATTTTCATATTCGCGTTGCGATTCTGGAAAATCGCAATGCGAATTTGTACTATCGCATTGCGATTTTCAAGAATCGCGTTGCGATTTTGGAAACTGATTTGCGATTCTGGGGATCGCGTTGCGATTTTTATTTCGCGTTGCGATTTTGTTGGTCATTTTGGCAAATCCAAAAAAAGTTGGTTAAAATCGTATATTATAAGGCATTTTTGGTCACTGAGGCAATTTTCTCTTTTAAGTTCAACGTTCAAGCAGTTTAAAGTAAACATACTACACAAGAATATTAAGTCCTAATAACACAACAAAACCAACAGCACGACAAAATAACTAGTAGGATATGTAAGTACTTCAAACTTTAAAGTTCAAGGTCCAAGTTGTCTAAATTTTAAAGTACCGAATTTCATTAGATTTTTGAATAATTTAAAGTAAGAATTTAGATGATTTGTATCTAATTCGATCATCATTTTTTTCAGATATTCGATCTGAATTATTTGAAAATAGAAAACGATTCATACACCAAAATTTTCAGATCAAACCGAATTTTTCTACTCATATTATTCTTTATATATTTAAAGATAATTACAATAATATATCTATTTATTTATTTTTCAATTATGTTTTTATTGTATCTAATAAAAATAAAATTAGCACGAATTAAAGTGATTTCCGTGGTAAATGAATTGCTATCCTTCCTTAAAAATCCAGGTTCAAACACCATAGATGCTAGGAGTTTGAACGTTCAATGTCGAGAAATTGAGAGTTATTTTTAAACATATATTACTTTGTACTTATCTTATATTAATAAAAAACATAAAATTATATATATATATATATATATATATATATATATATATCAGGTTAGATACAAATTTTTACTATTTAAAATCAAGTCGGGTTTCGCTTCCTTAAACTCGGGTGGAGAGATAATATTGATCGTTAGGAATTTAACCAACTATTTTACGAACTTCTCCTAAAACAAAAGAACATTCTACAACAAAATCTTAACAAAATTCAATAAATACAAAAAATAAACATAAATAAATTTAGTTTATTATTTGACCTTTAAGATTTTTAGTATTAATATCAGGTAATGAACAACGTTAACGTATTTACAAATTTAATCCAACATAAACTATTATTTTAATATTATTTATTGAAGCATTTTTTGTTGTAGGTGTCTATAAAAGCAGAGCCGGATACCCTCTTCGTCTTCCACAGATTCTCTCGTTTCTTTCTCCCATCGAGCTCAAATCAACTTCATCAGGTTCTTTCTAAGGAAAAAGGAATTTACTCTCTTGTCGATCAAATTCACCTAAAAGTGACTCGAAAACCAGCCGGTATGTAATCCAAACTTCGATACGTGCAATTATTCCGTGATTTCATTTTGTTTCCTTTTCTGGTTTGATTATGTTTTGAATTTTTGGAGGTTTTTTGTAATTTTTTTCGCTGGTTGATCGTTATATTATGATTAATTTCGAGAGTTTTCAAGTAAGTTTGATCAAATTTCAATAGCTTTGGAAAAATTGTTGCTCTGCTACTGATCTCATCTGCTTTTGTTTCTTTTTTTCGGAATTTTGTAATTTCAAGTGCTTTTGATCTGCAAAACCCAAAGAAAATTTGTTTTGTTCGTTATTCATTGCTGAGTCTGGCTTTCAAAAATTAACGGTGATATGAAATTATTTACGTTAATATAGAGGTTGATTATTCGATAAATTAATTCGAGAAACGAATTAAACTTTTTTAGCTTGTCGTTTGAGTCAACTATGGTAGGCATGTGTTCCAAGAATTTATGCAATAGGCTAGATTTTCTAAATACCACCACCTACTTGAAGAAAAGTCGATAGTAAACTATTTTACAAGTTCTTCACTATATGATATCAAGTTAAGAGAGGTCGGAGATTACTCCGATATCAGTTAAAGAGAGCCAACATCAGAATATTCTTCGACATCCGACCGAAATAACACTATAAGAAATACAATACTTTCAGTTGCAATGATTATGTTCCTATAATTCTGATCTGATTCCTTTTCCATACATATTGCAGATTTTGTCGATAGATCATGGACATTGAGCAGTTCGTTGAAGAAGCCGAAGTTCAAAACCAATCACCGGAAGGTAAAGTTTCCATGGAGAAGTGTATGAATTCACCAGACTCAGTCACAGGCTCGGACGATACTGGCTTCAACTGCAATATCTGCCTCGACACCGTGCTGGATCCTGTGGTGACGCTATGCGGGCACATATATTGCTGGCCCTGCATTTACAAATGGCTTCAATTGCAGTCCAACTCCACCGAAAACCAAACCCCCAAACAGCCGCAGTGCCCTGTATGCAAAGCCGATGTTTCGGATTCGACGCTTGTACCGCTTTACGGCCGGGGACAGACAAGCAAAGGATCAAAAAGAAAGGCTTCTCAACTTGGCATAGTTATTCCAAAGAGACCTCTTGGTCCTGATCTTGGCACACCAAGAACACCTAATACTGCAAGTAGTCCACAATTTGCACATCAAATACAACACCATTTTCCAACTTCTCCGATGCGTAGTCCCGGTGGCACTTACTCATATCAACCGCAAGTGTACGATTATCCACCTTCTCCAATGCATAGTCCTGGTGGCACTTACTCATATCAACCACAAGTGAACGATTATCCATTTTCGCCCATGCGTAGTCCCGGCGGCACGACAATGAATGTAATGGATCCACTGGTGCGAATGCTCGGTGAAACAATACACACAAGGGTTTTAGGGGACTCGATTACGAATTTATACATGTATCCGAATTCATACAATCTTGTGGGAAGCACTAGCCCTAGGATCAGAAGGCACATCATGCAAGCTTATAAGTCACTCGACAGATTCAGTTTTTTCCTCTTGTGTTGCTTGCTTATATGTCTTCTTCTGTTCTAATCTTACATAGGTCTGTATATACAAATTCGGCTCGATGTAGCAATAGTTTAAGAGATGTCACATCTTCTGTGCTGGGATGGTGTTTTTTTTCCTTTCTTTTTTGAATAGGGGATGTTGTTTTATATGTAATGACGAGTTTGATTTGATATATTACGAGTTTCACTAAGGTGATGTTTGTTTTCACTGTGCAAGCTCTTCAAACCACTTATGTCTGCGTCGCACAGACCACGCGCAGACATTAGGCTTCGCAGACTGTTTGTTTATTAGAAGACAGAAGCTCTTCAAACGTCTGCGCGAGCTCTTCTTGGTGCAGACTTAGTTTTATGTCTTCAAAGGTCTTCAAACCTCTTCAAGAACAATTATAAAATATAGTTATTTATTAAAATAATTTTAAATAATTTAATAAGGTTATTTATTTTAAAATAATTTATTATAAAATAATTTATTATAAAATAATTTATTATAAAATAATTTATTATAAAATAATTTATTATAAAATAATTTATTTTAAAATAATTTATTATAAAATATGGATTGATTTATTTTAAAATAATTTATTTTAAATAATTTGATAGTATGAATTGATTTATTTTAAAATATGGATTGATTTATTATTGTAGTTGTATGGATTGATTTATTTTACATAATTTATTAGTATGGATTGATTTATTTTAAAATATGGATTGATTTATTTTAAATAATTTATTAGTATAGATTGATTTATTTTAAAATATAGATTGATTTATTTTAAATAATTTATTAGTATGGATTGATTTATTTTAAAATATGGATTGATTTATTATTGTAGTTGTATAGATTGATTTATTTTAAATAATTTATTAGTATGAGTTGATTTATTTTAAAATATGAATTGATTTATTTTAAATAATTTATTAGTATGTATTGATTTATTTTAAAATATGGATTGATTTATTTTAAATAATTTATTAGTATGGATTGATTTATTTTAAAATATGGATTGATTTATTATTGTAGTTGTATAGATTGATTTATTTTAAATAATTTATTAGTATAGATTGATTTATTTTAAAATATGGATTGATTTATTTTAAATAATTTATTATTGTAGTTGTATGAATTATTTAAATTTCAGTATTGTAAAACTAAAATTATTTAAATCTCAGTATTGCAAAACTCTTTTAAGTTTAAAAAATCAGTTTATTTATATTTCAGTTCATTTTAGCAGTCTAAAGACGTTAAAAAACAAACAGTCTTCTTCTTGCATACTGCAGACTTTTGGTCCACCTCTTCTGCTGCAGATGCCTGCAGATGTGGTCCGCAGACTGCAGATCTTTTACCTCTGCAAATACAAACACCACCTCAATGTTTTGAAATCAATTCACTATATATATAATGTAACTTGTAACACTGGCCTACAGGGCTTGATTCATATCTCGAACTTGCCAATGGAACAGTTCAAAGATAAAGTTTTGATGGGGCAGTATATTGGCTTTAAAATTTAGGATAGACTAACCATCTTATTAAATTATTGATATAATTTTATTTTGATTACTAAATAAAAATTTTGTTATTTAAGTCATTAAAATTTTATTTTAATTTTAAAATATATTATCGATTGTTAATGATAAAAAGAAAGACCAATATGATAATTAAATACATTTATATAATAACGTATTTTATCTCTATTTTTTTACGGATTTTTAAATATTTAATTGTATAATAATATATTTGATCTTCGTTATTTATATATTTTATTAATTTAAATATAATTTTAACTAAAAATAATTTAATAAGCTTTTTTTTATTGAATTAATGCACTTCTCGTCCCTTTTGCCATTTGTTTATGTATCTTTAACCCACACAATCAATGTATAATTCTAGTGAGTCATGAGATATGTAAGTGGTCGATTTAAATTTTTGAAAATGAGGTTATGAAATTTTAATATTATTTTCTTTAAAATAATAAGTGTATAATTTTTTAATATATTTTTTCTTCTTAACACATTAAACTAAATTTAATTAGTTTTTCAAAATAATCAATAGGGGCTTAGTACATCCGTCCCTGAGATACATAATTAAATAAATTTGTACAATAATATATTGTCCTTATTATTTATATGTTCTATTAATTTAGATTTAATTTTAATTAAAAATAAATTTTAATATATTCAATTTTCTAATAAAATAATAACACGTTTAACAATATATTTTCTTCTGGCCTATATTAAACTTTAATAATTCAATTTAAGAACCATTTTAGCGAAATGAAAAGTTTACATTTTTAGACCTTTCAAAAATTAACAATTCAATTTAAATCATTATAATATTTGATTTTTAGATTATTTCCTGTCGTTTTCGGTTCACTGTCTCATATGTAATCAAATACCAAATTAGGAGAGTTGGTGGAAAATAATGGTGGGGATTAAGTAGAGGCTGTTAAAGGTTTCATTCATTCATAATACATATATAAATAAAATAAGATTAACTTATATTTCATAGAAATCTTTAATTTTTTTTATTAATTTAAGATTATTGGATGAATGAAAATTTAAATTTTATGTATCTATATTTTTATCCATAAAAATATTTTTTTTAATTTTAACCATTAATTTATATTCTTCTAATAATTCTAAATAAAAATTTAATATTGTTGATCAATAGCAAAACATCCTGTTGATTTGAGTTAATATAGAAATGAACAATATTGGCACAAATTAAGACACATTATCAAACTTGTTCATAATGGGTAAGTTTATATCTCTACGTAGGAACGAAAAAAGGTAAATTAGGTTTATATAAGTTGGTACATAAGGTTTACTTTCAAATCATTAAATATATTTGAGGAAGGTACATTAGGTTATTTTAATTTTTAGTCGGATCTGGAAAATATAAATTATTAAACATATTTAAAAAGGAAAGACAATGATTTTTTTTTAATCTAAAACTTTTAGAAAAATATCAACTTAACTTATAATTCGGGTAATATATTGATTTAAAATTTTAAGTATAATTCAAGTTTAGTTATAATATTACATTATCAAACTTAAAAATAAATTTGATAGCATATATAAATTGCACACAAAATTATAAAAATGAATATAATACACTTATAAATATATATTAAACCTTAAATCGATTGATTCAAGAATTAATAGTTAACTTTTTTTTTCTCTTTTTTTCATAATCGTCGTTAGTCTCTTTTCTTCTTCATCTTTATAATCGACGGCGATACCGATCTTAACATTTATTGTCGACATCCAATATTCATTATTTTTTTATTTTATTATAGTGTATATTGTTTTTTCTTGTTTTTTATTCTTAATAATTCTGTCTTTTTTACATGTATTCTTCTATCTTTATGACACGTTTTTTCTGTTCTATGGCACATTTTCAGTTGTTTGGCCGTTGTTTTCGTTTATTTTTTTAAGGTTTAATTTGACATCGCCACGACTGATCAAGGTGACACTTATTTGTTACAACGATCTTCTTCTGTGAATCTCTAATTTGATTAATGGTGTCATGGGAAGGCTTTTAATTGGATGGTGCATGTAAGCTTAACCTTTGCTTTCGAATTCTTTTAGATAAATAGTAATATTTCAATTGAATCAACCTATATTACTCGGACTAAGATGTGAGTGTCAGATACGAATATAGTTAAAACTTTTCTTAGACTTTCCATATATTTGGAAAATACTTGGGGATCGTATCTCCATGTTTATGTGTCCGACACTCAAATTCGAGCAACATAGAATCAACTGATCAATATGATATTTGATAATATCTGCTTTTCTGTGCTTCTCTATGTGCAAAACTTAATCTACAATGATTTGGCCTCTAAATTTGAAACCTTAAGGAGTTAATTAGTTTTTTTTTCAGGCTAGCATTTATTCTAAGCAAACTATTTAGTACTGAATAGTGGGATGAAAATCCGAATGTAGGTTGATGAGGACTGAGTTTACCAGAGACAAAAGAAGGGCGATGTAGGAGTTGGAATGGACATCCAGTTCGGCTCGAGGTTTAAGTAAGTCTAATTGTTTCCATCTTGACTGAATTTCCCTTTATAGATGGATTACAAGGGTCCTAATTGCCTTTGTATGTTTGTTTCGAAACTATACGTTTATTCGATATTGGAAAATGAACAATGTGGCATGGCATATGCAGCTAAATAGAGGGAGAATAATTGTAAAGATTCACTGGTTGGGATGTCTGATCTCCCATGGGTTACATTAGCCACCTTGAACTCTGCATCTTTCACATTGACACCTCGCAGTACTCGGTGGAATAGGATTGCTTCTTTGTAGGTTCAATGTGCTTGTTTTCTCCTTTCCCAGATCCCGAGTCTCCACATGTGCTGCACAGAGAAATTAAGCAGAACACAAGTACTCTGTGTAGATGCAATGTTTTAGTCTTTGTCGACCATTTCAGCATTGAAATACAGGATGACTAGTGAATCATTCTGTTTACCATTTCTCAAATATCTCTAATTCGGTTTTTTTTTTTATTGTTGCAGCTAATGCTATGGCTGGACCACGATCATGGATAGGAGGGGTTTTTCATCGCTTAAGGAATAAGCGCAGTGATAAGTTTATCGAGTACCCTTTGACACCTATTCAGGTAATCGAAAATGTTACTCGACATATCGGAACACAGATTTCAAAAGCTTCAACAACGAGTACGGGTACCTTTTGATGAGACTCGTCCTGACCATCAGGTACTTTATTCATTCCTCTATAGTCAATGTCGTCTCCCCGATGTTATCGTTACTAACTTTGATTGGACTCGGAATATGCATCATAAATATCGTTACTAGTTCGTCTCTCTGTGGACAAGAACTAGCTTGGGGTCAATTACTTGAACATATAATCCCTTGGTGACACAGGAGGCTCTAAGAGAACTATGGCACATTGCATTTCCTAATGTTGCTCCGAAAGGATTGGTCTCCCAACAATGGAAAGAAATGGGGTGGCAAGGCCCTAATCCTTCCACTGATTTTTAGTACGATTCTTTCGTTCCATTCTTTCCGAGTTTATACAATGTATCTTATGTTGCCTTAAAGTGAGCTTCTCTCGTCAGGGCTTGCGGATTTATCTCTCTCGAAAACTTGCTGTTTTATGGCCAGGCATGATTTTTGTGCAGTATTTTATTGTCACTTTTAACATTACTTCCCGTAGTTTTGCCGGATTCCTTTTCTTCCGTCCCGGTTGCTCGAAAATTACTTTCTTGAATGTTACTAATTGGCTAATTGCTTTGGTATCAATTATGACTCTACTCTTCTTTTCTGCAGAAGGTTTTACAAGCACTAGGCTCACAGCTGGAGTGTTTGGAAAGTGTGCGTAGGATACAGGACTTACCGGCATACAACTTGTTATATCACTAGCTCCGGTTACGACAGTTTTCTCCGACCGGAGCCGTGAAAATCTTACTTTCGTCATTCTTGTATATGTTTCCCGAATGATGGGGATGTTCCAAATCTGATGGTTATTAACTGACTTGTTTAAAACGACTCGAAAAATATGTAATCCTTAATCAAGGGCAGGGTTTTCCGATGCTTTACGATCGAGATTCACAGCCTAATTCGGCCGCCACCGAATATGACACCTTGAATGCATCCCTTCAGCACCATCAAGCGTAGGATAGTTATGGTCTCCAGTTACATAAATAATTTGTATAGTTCTTTTTTCTTTTTCTAATGTGTAAGGGGTAAACTTGTCGAGATATTGTTGTTAGAAAAAAAAAATTCTCGAGATAAGGCACATTAGGGATTATTTTTTCATCTATGGTGAAATCTATAGTAACAACATAAAGACTTCATGACTGTATGGCGTCTTTAGGTTAAACGTAAAAACTCTAGGCGTATACGGCGTCTTTAGGCCAAATGTAAAGACTCTAGGAGTGCACGACCTCTTTAGGCCATGCAGAAATAGGTAGATCATCTCTCCTCAGCCTGAAGACGTCATACACTCCTGAAATCTTTAAGTTTAGACCGAAGATGCCAAACAATTATGAAATCTTTGTGTTGTTACTGTAGATTTTACCATGGATGGAAAAATAATTTCGTGACTTATTTGGGAATTTTTCCCGCACAACAATATCTTACCCATTTTCCCGTGTTTAAGGTGTTACATATTTTGATTGTTTTCCATGGTTACACCTTCGTGTTATGCAATATACATATTATCGGTTCAGTTTTTCTTCTCGCCAATTTAATCATATTGTCCTTATAACGTTCGAACTGTGACTAAAATTTTAAAATTAACAAATTATAATTGATCACATTAGAATATGGGATTAAATTTATAATTCGCACATAATTCAAGTACTAATCACAGTATTTGAATAGTTATAATTTTATTCACTTGACATTGACAAAAGTTATTTTATCTATATTATAAAATGATCATTAAATTATATTTTAGACATATAAACAATTAAATAATACATTAATGATGACTAAATTATATTAAAATAATTTTGTATTATTAAAATCATAAAAAATCATATTATAAAATAATAATTGAACTTATTGAACTATTATAAAAGAAATTTGAACTTACTAAAATTTATACTATCATATCATGTGTAACAATCATTTTATAACGATTCAAAAAGATCATTTTATAACTACTAAAATTTCACTAACCAAAACAAATTATTTTAAAATAGTTCAATGACCATTCAAGTATTTTACCGTAAAGAATTTGTATTTGCTATGAGAAAATTGTGATAACTATCATACCTTACCACTATGGTTAAAGAAAGCATATCATACAATCCATAAAAAGAGTGTTCAAAAGCTAAAGAGCCTCACCTCGTCTCTCAAATCTCACCCATTTTTTTATAACAAGTGCTAAATGCATCACCATGGGAGCTTTTAGCCACGTCGAATACCCGAGAAGTAGTCGAAGTCATTGTGTTGGACGCTCAGTTGCTTCAGCCACGAATCTGCAACGCTCAAAAGTGACAACAACCTCTCTTGGTCCCCTTCGCATCCAGCCGGTGAGAGCCACACATTGCCTTGCATCTTGTAAGTTGCCAAACCAAAGGGTGGAAGAGAGATTCCCTCACCTCCCTTTCGGTTCTTTTCGACTCTCTCGACATCGGCTTCAACATCCGTTTCTACACCCCAAAAAAAAACATCAGTGAAACAAATGTGCGAAACTGCGAATGCGTGCACCTGAACAAACATGTATATGGAGTGAAAGATCAACCTTGGAAAGATGACGATAGCGTGTGGTAAGAAAGGAAGCATGTGGACAAGTCCTTTATGGTCCTTCCCATTGGGATATGATAGATTGGATACCTGATAATCAAATAACAATCCTTTCTCAATAATCAAAATTTGTATATCTTCAAAAGAAGATGAACACAAGAAGAATAACTCCGTACGAGCCTCGATTACGGATATGTTTCCGACATACTCATATATAACTTCTAAAGTTTTCTAACATACACAAGAAGAATTATAAACCCTTCACTATTCAAGTTGTGTGTGCATTTGGTTAGTGGATGTAAAGGAGATACCAAGAAACTGCCATCCAACTAGCCGGAGAAAGGTCGACACTCCTCAACGACATCAAACCAGGGTATCTTCTAGAAAATCCACTAATCTGTGATAAAGATTGAACAATAAAAGTGTCAATGGAACCTAACATGCTTTCATATTGTAAAAGCAATGGTCTCAACTCAATCATCCCAGCTTTTAAAATTTATATTCTTCTTTTGGACAACACCAAATGAAAAAAGCAACAACTTATGCCTCATAAATTAAGAATCATAACTCTGAAAATATCGCAAAATAGACATAACACCCACAAGAAGATAGTAAGGAATAAGATACGGATATGTTCGCGTCGAACATTACGATATGGACAGATTTCCGGAGGGGGGGGGGTTCCTCTCACCGTACCTTATCCATGAGTGGAACTCTTTCGTAAGGCGTTGATGTCTCAAAATACTGAAAGTAAAGGTACCCCAAACGATTATTAAAATGCAAAACGCTGTCTTGTTCAGAGGATCCACCGTCCTCGGAGGAGCAACATCCGTCCGACCGCCACAACTTATCGCTCTCGCTCTCAACGGTACTGCACGAATCACTAAAATAGTCCGACGATCTCTCCCCATCACCAGATTCAATCTCATCCCTGGGGAAAAAAAAAGATATCATCGTTGCTTGTTCTATCAATATCATTACAAACTTGATCGTTATTACCTTAAGTTGCTGGTGAATATTTGAATTGCTGACAGGTAAGGAACATAGTATTGGACTAAGGTTTCGTTATCGTCTAAGGTGATAGGAACGCCGGCACCGTAAGCACTCCATTCATTGTAACAATCCCAGAGATCATTCAATGTGAAATATTCGATCTTTTCCGTCTCCGACGGATGCCATAATCGATTCAGGTTCGCGATCTCAATCTATAATGAAACATGAACATAATCATCACAATTTGTATGATAAGCTGAAACTGTGCTGAGAAAAGAAGGAAATATCATTTACTAACCTTTGGAAGGAACTGGGATCTGACAGTGGGTGTCGTGCATTGAAGGAAGCGGTCGATATTAGATTGCTTTGAAGCTGTGTCGAAATTCATGATTTTTCTTGGGAAACAAAAGATAGACAAGAAAACAAAGAAAGAGAAAGTTGTGCTTTTTCCCCCTTCTAAACTTCACGATGATGAACAGTAGAAGAAATCAAAGGGTAAATGAAGAGAGCAAAGAGCGAGATTATTGACCTTTGGACAGCAAAATTTAAGGGGGGAAGTGGAAAGATTCTTGTTTTTTTTTTAGTTGAAAACGCTTTTTTAGATCAACTATTTTTCGTTCACTGTTGGATTTGTTAATTACCCTTTTCTCAGCAAAAATTAAGGAAACGAAAAACTAAAACAAAAAATGGGATTCAACTCAACACCTTTTTCTTTCTCTCTTTCTTTCTTTTTTTCCTCGAGAAAACTAAGGCCCGCTCTGTTTTGATCAACTATGAAGAAACAGTTTTGATCTTTACCATTCAAAGTTTAATCCTTCAAGCAAAATATAGAAGACCCAGAACGCAAAACCAGCTAAATTAAGACTAAAACACCATAATTTCTCGAAACTTAGAAACAAATACGAAACAATAAAATTTCCCGGGGAAACAAAAACAGAGCACGAAAAAGAAAAACAGAAAATATCAAATTTTACACAATTGGAAGATGAAATGATAAGATTTTGTATTTTGTATTTTTTCTCTTTTTATTTTTTGGGAATTTGTCTTTCTCTTTTTTAGATTTTAATGGATATAATCATGTCTGACGGCAATAATGAAAAGATCCAAAATTTCAAGATTGAAATTTGAGGAACGAATTCGAGTTTTCACATTTTATTATGGACAAACTTTTAGTTCATAAATTTGGAAAAACTTTCAATTTGGTCCCTGGAATTTTATGACCCACACTCCACATCATTCAATTTGGTATAGATTTAAAGAAATTTTATCCAATTCAAAATTTGATCTGATTTTTTAGATAAAAATTTACATTCGATTTAACACAAATATATATGTACAAAATTTTATTTTATTTGGATTTTATTGAGAAAATATAAATAAATATTATTGTAATTTTTTAAATATATATGAGATAATTATATTATAATATTCGAGTCGAATTAAGATTTTTTTCTTTAAACTTGAATCCAATCTAATGTGATCTTATCTTTAGTTTAGTAATATTAATTTGGTTGAAAAAGCGCATAAAATCAAAATATGAAATAAATATATATGTTTATAATATTACAATAATAATTCATGTTTATTTATACTAACACATAATTGTCATTGTAAACAATATTTTTCATTAAAAAAACTTAAATTTAAATTGTTTTTAGAATTATTAGAAATATTTTTCACTTACCATAGAAATATGATAAGAATATTGAAATAAAATAGTTGAATAAATATTTATTACCCAATTCATTTGTTCAAAATGACATGTAAATAGAGATATATCACAAATTAATATTATCTACAATGTGTGAGAGGAAATGCAAAAAGAAGAAATAAACAAAGGTGATTTTTTTATTTGTGACTCCAAAAATTTAGTATGTTATGAATAAACAAATAAATTTAAAAAAACGTGGAACACATGCATGTGGTCCACGACAAACAAAACCTATAGGGACTAGCGTTCCAGATTTTAGTTTCTTAAGATAATATTATTTTAATTATATTTAATTCTAATAATAATATTTAATTTCAATTGCTGTGTTCAACTATTTTTATTCATCTTTTAAAAAATAAATTTGATTGAATTTATCAAGTAATAAAAGAGAATGTTATTATATTTTAGAAGCATTGAATTTGAACGGTTTTATTTATAAAATATATATGATCTTTTAATAATTTAAGAAAATTTTAAATAAGTAATACTTATAAAAAAATACGGTTTCACTAAAATAAAAGACAAAGCTATATATATAGTATAAGAACTAGTGATAGATTTGACAGTTATTTTAGTACATGTTATCACGAGTCTTATGCATTAGAAGTCAGATCCTAATCCACAAGTAGGGACTAATTAACCAAATAATTAAATGTCAATTATTGAAAGATTTCAATAATATTTTAAGTGCAATGATTATCTAATATTCAACATAAAAAAATACTATAATATTTTTAGCAATCCATTGATTTTAGATTTGTGATTAAGATATTTATATTAAAAAACAATAATCTTATCTTAAATAAAGTATAATTTAAATGTTCCGTATGTTATTAGGATTTGTATGTTTGAATCAAGTCAAAGTGTGATCAAATTTGTGGCGGATTGCAGGCTTTAAAACTCGGCCGAGGAAATGCCCGATAAACAAACCAACAACTTGAAATGGGCCTAATGAACTACGCATGCTTTGTGTTAAAATATGCAATTCATATATTTTTTTTGGGTAAACTATGAAAATAGTCCTTTTTAAGGTTTGTCTGCCTTTAGTCATCAATTTTAAAATTACGGGTAAATAGTCCCTAATATTATCGGTCTATCTGGTCTAAGTCCTTTTTCCGTTAAAACTTAACGAATATGTGACATAGTTGAGGGACTAAAATCGAACGGGAATTAATGGCTGAGGGACTAAAATCGAACGACAATTAATGGCTGAAGGATTAAAACCAAATGGATTGGTAACGTTAGGGACTAAAATTGAACGAATCGATAACATTAGGGATCATGTATACTTAATTTTTAAATAAATGAGCAGAGTCAGTCAAACAAAAAATAAAGGGGATTATTCGGATAGTTTACCCTTTATTTTTCGCACATTTGAACTTTAATATTTGTGTTTTTAATTTATTTTTCAATTGAAATTTTGAATTTCATTTATAATGAAATAAACATATTCTGGATATATAATTAAGATTTAATGAAAATATAGTTGAGAGGTATAAAAAATATAGATTTGTTAAATTTACAAATATATTAGAAATTTAATACTATTAAACAGGCAGCTGTATATGAATATTATTTCTCGATAAAATTCGGACACAAAACAATATTGAAAATTTCCTTTTCTCATGATAATTCACAAACCCAATCTTAATACAAACTCGATAAATTTAAACATTATAGCCGTTTAAATCTCGAAATTTCAAGCAGTACTGGTTTTGTATTCTCATCTTCCCCGCGACAAAGCTTTCTCAGCAGTGTCCATCTCTTCGAGAATCCTCTCCTTTCTCTTTGCCGGGATCGGCGCCGTCGGCCCGAAGCTAATATAATGCCCGGAGACAGCGTTCAAAGCCGAGTAAATCTCACGGAAAGAAGCTCTCCCCAGCAAGGATTTCTCCCTTCTGTACTTCGCCACCCAGCTGTTCGACGTATCCCTAAGCTCGGCCACCGCCGTCGCCACGTTGGGATCGTTCTTGTCCATGTTGATGGTGCTCCGCACCTTTTTGATGACGTCGGAGGTCTCTTTCACGTACTCCTCGTCGTCGCCTGCGAAAGCCGGTGGTGTCGCTGCCAGAAGCGATGAAAGGGATAATGTGGAAGTTACGGCGGCGAGGGACAAGAAATGGCGACGCGAAGGGTGGTGGGGTTGTGGTGAGTGTGACGACGGTGGAACGGCGGAGGTGGGTCTGTGTATGATTGGGAGGAGGGGTTTGAGCTTGGAAGTTGGTGTTAGTAGTGTTGGGGACGACATGGTTTTGCTGGGTTTTCTTTTCCTGGGAGGAAAATGGAGAGTTTTGTGTCTTGGTGTTTGTACAGAGAAATGGGTTTGTGTCACGTGGGCTTATCTAATCTTTTTGGTTTGAATGGCTGAGAAAGGATTCAATGATATCTCGTGTAGATTTACCAATGTCCAACGTGGCAACAGATTTGAGGCTTTAATTTCATTGAGGTGTTTCCACTCGTCACTAGGGATACTCATTAATCGGCTCGGATTTTTTCATTCGAATTCGATTTAAATATAACATTCTGAAATTTATCATTTCATTTAATCTGAGTTTATAAAAACTTCATCCGAATTAATATTTAACTTGGTTTTTAGAACAAAAATCAACACCCGACCCTACGTAATATATATAAAAAAAATCTCATTTTTATTAAATAAAATACAAATATAAATAGAATGATATTATAATAATTATTCTTAAATATACAAGTTAAATATCCTATTATTATTAGGTCGAATCGGATCAAATATTTTTCATCATAAATTTAAATGTGATCCCCTTAAAACACTTGAATCAAACATGAATCATCAAAAGAAGGAGACTCTATCAAATCAGAACCGATCTAATTTAAGTAAAATATTTATCCTTACTAGTGACCACGTAGTTATATTTCGGTTTTCAATAGATATTACCGTCTCTAATCATTAAATTTATTTAATTGATATAAAAATAATATTTTTTAATAAATTTAAAGATTATTTTATAATAATTTGATAAATTTTAATAATTATTTTATAATAACGTAATAAAATATAATATCAATTTCATAACAATCGGATAAAATGTATACATCATGCTAACCAAACACATAAATCTTATATTCCGGAGTAAAATAAATTTCGATAATATTATTTAATGGTAATTTTATATTCCATTAATTAAATATATCAGTTTTTGGCATTAGTAACTCATTACTTTCTTTTATAATAATTGTGTATTTTGATTTGGAAATAGCAAGATTTTAATGAAACCATCATATTTTGTTAACGGTTAACCATAAACTGTGCTTCGAACCCTCTCAACGGTGCAAAGATCAAGGATTCTAAGCAACATCCGGTCGCTGGTGCACCTTGGTGTCTTGAATTGGCTAAGCGCTGCCCCGTTCCTTATGAAATGATCCAAAATCTTCTTGAAAGTCCCTCTCTCCACGATGCAGAGCTCCAAGGGTCCAATCGAGTTGGTCCGCCTTGAGACGATGTAGCCATGGTCGACGAACGAAGCGTCCATCTCCCGGCAGCACTCGCGAAGAACCCGCTCCTCGACTTCGCCTTTGATCTCCCAATAGATTATGTAATGGCCCGGTTGATGCACGACTTCGGCACCACTCGTGAAATCGACAAGGTCGGCTCGATGATTGCTTAGCAGCTCAGACCCTCTTTCGACCACTAACTGAAGGTCCTTCTCGGTGTTTTTGTCGATGTTAACTGCTAATATCAGCTTCCTCCTGCATATGAAATTCAGTTTTGGTGTCCCGTTATGAAATCCGCTCACTTCCACCACATCTCCTAGTCGATATCGGTATAGCCCTGTGGATCCATATATAAACAAGATTACGATACGAAAAAAATACATAAATACGAGACGGATATATGAATATGAATGTGAATTATATAATGAATATAGAAAAACTTACCGGTAAAAGTAGCGAGGACAATCTCATATTCTTGTCCAACATTGACTTGTGATAGTGGAACCGGTTCATCTTCAATGAAATCAACACTGACCGAACTCGAATCTTGATTCTGTCTATAAAGAGGGATGAACTCGAAATAAGAAAAAGTCGGCATTACAGCAAAAGTGACATTTTCAGGTGGCAAAGAAGGATCCAAGTTAACCCCGATCCAACTCTCGGTCGAACCGTATTCGGCGCTCACGAGCGGCAATGAACCAGCATGGTGCCTTAGCTTCTTCAAGTACGGTTGCATGGAGCCAGTCATTATGGAGTAGACATATTTAGCATTAGGCCATAGTTTAGGTACCAAACCATACCAATCGGAACCTTGTAAATCCTCACATACAGCTTCGATTTTCGAAGCCAAAATCGGGTTAGGTTTAACTATGTCTAAAACGGCTTTTCGCATCTTTGGTAACGTTATCCTTGAACTAACGTTGCCTTCTTTGATGTCTTTGCATATTTCTTTCCATAGCTCTTCAAATGAGGCGAAGTCTTGGACTATGCTGTATGCAAAGGTCGATGTAATGAACTCGACTTCATCACGAGAGAAGAGGCCGAGCAAGAGATGACAGTACGTCGTTTGCTTATAGTCTCCGCTTGAAATCACTTCATGGGGACTGCATGTGAATGACTTTGTTTTCTCTTGTTTGATCTTGAATTCTTTGCTGGAGTAATAGTGTGTCGTCGCTGTCCCTGCCGTTAATCCTCCATTTGTTTTGAACCTTTTGCTGCTGTATATGAACTCTAAGATTCTTCCCCCGTCTCGTGTTGGATACACCCTGTAGAAGACATTACAAATTGTTATCACGATCGGATACGGTTACGATGAATGTCGATAATGAAATAATTGAAACCGTGACATAACAAATGCAATATCAGGGATGACCTTGATCTATAAGCTGCTGCTAATCTGAAAATCTGCAGAGTTGTCTGGGAACTATGGCGAGTAATGGGTACACACTTTTGTCGACCTTCGGTGGTGCCAGAGCTACAAACAAGAAGCATGAGCAAATCAACAAGCAATTAGACGATTATAGTTATCTTATGTCAAATGTACAAGGAGATCATATGCTAAACATAAACAGTTAATTCTAAACCTCTATCGATAGCTGGATAGAACCTTGGCATTGCCATTGCAATGTGAGTTTTGTTATGCATTTATGCACTAACAGAGTAATATGAAATAGCTGTGAAAGTCTAATAAGCCTTCTTAGAGACCGAATCATCGGCACAAGAACCATAATTTATTAGATTCAAAGAATCAAAGAGGCCTCTGACTCGAAACAAGTAACTTATTGCAGTAATGAATCTTCTTCCATAATGAAATGTGCAGGGTATGTGAGAATATGCAGTCTTTGTCACTATCTTAACCCTTTTGAGGCTAGGATGTAACTTGGACATAAAGATAAACCTTTAGCAAAGCCTTTCCAAGACTCTAGGACAAGGATGTACCATTCTATAAGTGTACATAGTTAAGGACACATTGGGTCTCGACTAAATTCGGAGTCGAGCCCTAAGTGGATCCGTAATCGGAAGACAAGATCTCCCAACTCAAACACTTTATGTCCGCTAACATGGAACATGTCTGTACCTTAATGAGAGAGTGGTAATAGGGTGTTGGGTGAGCATAGGAGAGGTGTCCCCATCTGCAATCCGTTGAATATAAGGCTCCAAATCCGCATGAGAAACCAAAGGCACTAAAGAAGTGTAAAGTGATTCAATTTCACATGCATCCATCTCGTTTATATCCATGTCCCCGAGCCATTTTTCAAGTACTTGACACCGTGGTTCAGCTCGAGTATCCGACGAAGCGTCTCCCTTTGAACAACACCGGCGTTCGTCGACACACGATCGAACCAGCTAATAATGTCGTAGTTGCTAGCTTCAAGTGTTTCGGCTTCCATTCGAAAGGAAAATAAGCCAAGGAAGAGCTAGCCGAGCCCGAGCACTTTGAGAGAATATCTGGGGGCATGCTTATTATTATAACCCATCTTCCTTAATGCTGTGGTAGGTCCTCCGTCGTTGAAGTTGTACGGTTGGTTCTGAACCACAAGTGATTGGGGTTGGGGGTTATTCTGAGATAGATTCTTTTGGGGGTCGAAATTGAAAAAAAAAAGATAAATGGAGAAGAATGTGGTAAGTGAGGACAGTCAATCATGTCCGACAGTTTTCAATTCATTGTCTGTCTTTTGTATTTTGTTTCGTTTTGCAACTTGCAACATGGGTTCTTCTCCAAGGCTTCCTACTCCATGATTTAAACGATACCATTACTTTGTTGTTCGACTCTCGACTTGGAGTTATTGTTAAATCCATATCGAAAAGGATAAATCGTGATCGATTGATTAATAGTTAAAACTAAATATTTTATTTATTTTTATTAGTGTATCTATATTGATTCAAACATAATTAAAATTAATATTTTTCTCCCCTAAACAACTTTATTCACTGTCCTAATAAAGAAATATTCTCTTACCAAAACAAACCTTCTCTACTTGCATGGTCTCAATATGGTAAGACATTTTCTTTTAATCTTTTCACAAGGAAAAAGCAAAAAGTTTCACGATATCACCAGAGGTGATCATTTGTATATATATAATGTTGTGTTTTTTTGTGTGGATAATTTGATTTTTATTATCCAAATAACAAAAACCTGCTACAAAAAAATCAGTGTTCAAAATATAGAGATTGCCCTACATACAAAAATAAACAGCAATCAACCAATACCCCAATTTCTACATAAAGTAATATTTACACTATTAAATCTATTAAGGTTTCTACCCCTTAGTTGCAAACCAACTGTTTCCTTAATAGCTTGTAGCAGTTCTTCAGAAGTCATAGATTTATCTTGGAATATCATTTTATTTCTTTCCTCCCATAGGATGTAGATTAGAGCGGTGGAAGTAATCTTCAAGATATAAGTGATCAGCGATTTACCTTTCCAAAACATAGAGGCCCAAGCTAAGAAATCATTCCATGACAAGAGGTGATTGTGTAAACCATTCAAACCAGCAAGGGAGAAGACTGCTGCCCATAGAGAAGCAACAATCAAAGAACAAATGGCTTCGGTTTTCTATAACAACACCACATAAATTACACGTGCAGTCATTGATAAGTCTCATTTGATGCAGTCTTTCCTTTGTAGGCAGTTTATCAAGGAAGGTCATCCAAGAAATTAATTTGTGCTTTGGGATATGGAGAGGGAACCATAAGAGCTTTTGCCATGGAACTTTGGTATTCTTCACTCTAAGCTCATTCCAGATGTCACTAGTTTTCTTCGTTTCAGACAACAAAATAGGGAAGGCTTCGGTTCTCATTTTTAAAAGTTGCCTTAAACTCCAACTCATGGATGGCTTGATTTCAAC